GCAGGTACCTCGAAGACGAAGCTGGAGCAACGGCGCTGCAGGTAGGTACCTCTGGCCTCCGCCCAAGCTCTCTCTCTCTCTCTCTCTCTAGTACTACCTAGCTATGGCGCCCAGCGCTGGAGACTACAGCTACCTTCTGCGCCCAGCGCTGAAGGCTACTAGCTAACGCTACAACTACTACAACGCAGGGCTCCCTCCAGAGTGCTGCACCCAAATCCTGAAGACTACTACTGCCAACTGCCTACCTCGGAAGTGCCTGGGAAGTCCTATGTACTACCTCGGCCTGCCTCCTGACTGCTGGAGGCCAGTCAGGCCGAGGAGGCAGCTCTTGCCAATGCCGAAATGTGCCAGGGGCTGGCGTGCAGCAGCCTGCTTGAGGCCGGCGTGGGAAACAGACTATTAATAGTCTGTTTCCGAAACCCTGGTTCGGTGCCTGAGTTTCAGGGCCGGTCGTTCCGATGAACGACCGAAAATGGCCCTTCGTTTCAGGCTAAAAAGGCTGTTGCCATTTTTAGTCTGAAACGACCAGGGATAGGCCCTGGACTTCAGGCTTTTGGCCTGAACCGACAGGGGGCCTGTTAGCCCTGGATTTCAGGCTTTCGGCCTGAAATTCAGGCTTTCGGCCTGAAGTTCAGGCTTTTGGCCTGAACGCCGTCGGGCCTGCAAAATGGCCGTCGGGCCTGCCAAATGGCCCGTGTGTGCACGTGCTGCGTGTAACAAAACTGATGCATATATGATGGATGATTTTTGGCATTGCCGGAACAATATCACCAGAAGTCTCTGAAGTGCACTTTTTTTCAATAAATTGGCTGACTGGAGTTGCCACGTTCATGCAGGTCAGCTTGTAGAACTTGAGCATCTTCATCTCCAAGGTTGGTGCCACATCGATAAGTCCCCTGAAGGGGGCACCGGTGGGTTGAGGACTTCGTGTGGTAGAGTACGTTTTGCGGCTGAAGTGGGAGAGGGCGTGGAAGCTCTGCTTTGTCCTCTTGAACATCCACGCTAGACTTGGATGAGCTGCCATATCCAGATGCCATACTGAGGAGGAAGAGAGATGTGGGAGATCAAAGACGGGCTCTTTATGTTGCTGGCAGTAAGGGGGAGTAATAGGACCTTTGATTCTGGCTCTGTCATTCATTGTTGTCGTTTATTCATTTCAATGAGATGATGGCCGAGATGATGAGGGGGAGGTGATGGAGGCTAGATCATAACATTGGTTCCAGCTTGTGTTTATCTTCTTTCCCTAATCCCTAATCGTACTAAAAGTAAAGGCGGACCTCGCGTCATGCTCGCTGCGGGCCCAAAATAAAACGGAGGGAAGGCGGTACCGAAGGGGCGCGAGGGACTGCCGGGGTTTTGATGCATTTGGCGCGAAAATGCAGTCGGTGTGGTGAAAAATAAAATAAAAAATGAGGACTTAGATGCGTCTCCTTGGCGCTGATGTGGATTCGGGAATGTTCCCGATCGCAGCGTGAACGTGGCCTTTACGCAACGGGCCGTGGGAAGTGTCGCGGGCTTGGGTTCGGTTCCCCTCCCCCTTCCCCCCCCTCTTTCATCCTTTCGCTAACATTCGGGGGAGGGGCTTTATTGTTGGCACGTGGGGGGGGGGAAGGGCTGTATCGTTGGTGCGTCGCAGGGACCAAATTCTCCTGTAGAACATGGAAAAATACACCGTCATACATCATCCCAGGCGCATGTTTTTTTGGGGGGGGCGTCTTTTTCTTTTTTCTCCCTGTCGTCCTTTCGCGAACGTAGCGGGGGGAGTCGTGTGACGAATCCTCCGGTAGAACGTGGAAAGATACACCGCCATATTGGGTGTGATGAATTGTCACACACACACACACACACACACACACACAGAGAGAGAGAGAGAGAGAGAGAGAGAGAGAGAGAGAGAGAGAGAGAGAGAGAGAGAGAGAGAGAGAGAGAGAGAGAGAGAGAGAGAGAGACGATCATGCTCCGCAAACCTGCCAAGGTCCACAAGCGAAATGAGACGGATTCGGGGGCAGGGGCAGCGGAAGGGGCAGGAGAGGGAGTGGCGGGAGAAGAGGGGAGGACGACCAACGGGAGGAGGAGGAGGAGGTGGAGCAGGACAACAGGGCAGAAGGATCGGAGGAGGGGGGGCAGCGTGAAGAGCGAGTGGACGAGGGCAGTGAACGGGGGAGGAGCAGTGGGAGGAGCAGGAGAGGGAGTGGTGGGAGGAGGGGGCACAGAAAGAGAGAGAGCAGTTAAAGAATGGCCTGTTTTCCTTCCACGTTGCCGACCTAGGGATTGCGAGCGGAGCCGCGGCGGGTCTGGTTGTTTTTTTAAATAAGAAATTACCCATGGCTGCTACTTCCTCGTGCGGATTGGAGAACACCCAGAGCTAATCGTTTGTCGTCGGTCACCAGGGTTGTGAAAGAAGTTGCTTGCATTTATCTTCTTCTTCTTCTTCTGTTCTTCATACTTATCCCTCCCTTGCCTTTCAACCTAGTTGCAATTGTCAATGAATGATATTAGTCAGATAAATGACCCTGCATCCCTGCAACCATTGGAACAACCGTATGCTAATGCCAAATGAGGGAGTGAAGGAACATCGTACTGGACTCAAGGTTCTACTTTGGGTTTCTTTTGTATTTTACTTTTACTATTTTCCCTAGGGAAGTGGATAACCCGACACTTGCGTTCCTTTTATTTACGTATCACATTATTTTTTTTTGCAGGAATTTGAGCGCAAGGAACCAGAACTCCGAGCAAGGGCAGCCATGAACCTGTCATTCCTGTACTTTTTGGAGGGAGATCTTCCTAATGCTGAGAAGCATGCAGAAGTGGCTGTGAAGACCGATCGATATAATTCACGTGCTCTGGTGAACCGTGGAAACTGTTTCTTTGCTCAGGCAAGTATCCCTGCCACTGATTGTCATCAATCCATTAGCCACTAGGCCTACTTATTTGAACTTTGATGTCATGTATGTATATAGGCAGGTAGGTAGGTAGTTTGGTATGTACGTTCGTACATAGCGTTTTTCCCTCTCGTCCAAAATGTACATCCAGCTTCCATTGCATATGGGTCTCCAAGTGAATTTTGCAAGGCCATATTCCCCTCCAAGAACCTATGATTAAACAACCAGTGCTTGCGGTTTGACAAAGCTTGGCGTGCAGGGCGTTTGGAGCCCCTGAAGAAAGTGAGCTGGAAGTACTGGTGGTTCAAGTAAGCGGGCTTCCATGCTTGATGGGGTCAATTCCCACTTTCCTTTACCCATCGAAAAGAGAAACATTTGAAAAACCTTAGCAGCATTATTTGAGTTTTCAACCTGATCTGCCCATGACAGACATTGCAACTTTAAGTCTCATAGATGCCGGCAACTACCCTCTTCCCCCGAACATAACGCATGTGCGTTGTATTCAATTGGTTGAATGCATGGTTGCCCTGGACACATACATCCAGACATCCAGACAACGGTACAGGACCTGTGTCTTGATGGAACCGGACGTCCAGTTAACCAGATACTCAACCGGACATCCAGAAAACCGGACCCGGACAGTCTGCTTGGGGAGTCCGGACTGAAAAAAAAAAAAAAAAAAGCACGCACACACACACGCAGACACACAACACACACACACACACACACACACACACACACACACACACACACACACACACACAAACAAACACAAACAAACAATCAGCTTTATGTATGTGTGTTGTTTGTTCCTTTTTTCATGTTTTCTAAGTATATTTTCTCTGCCCCACTGAGCACCATTAAGTAGTGCCAAACAGTCGGTCATTCCTGGTTTGGAGTGCCTGCAGCACTCTTAGGGGGGGTGCTCAGTTCGGCATGTGAGTAGGTGATGTGCCGCTTTGCTCCGTGTTGGATGTGTGGACTGCCTTGTCTGCGCTCCACCGCTGGCTTGCTGCCCGTTCCGCTTGCTTCGCAGGCCGTTCTTGGCAAGCTGCTGTATTCCCTCTGTGGTGTGGCTGTGTTGTTGGTGTTGCCTTGCGCTTTGCTGCCTTGCCACCCATCTGCGGGCAGTGCCTTCCACATCTGTTGCTTGCATGCCTCGTAGTTTGGTTACCTTGTTGGTGTTGCCTTGTGCTTCGCTGCATGGTTGCCATGCTGCTAGGCTGCTCGCCCTGCCATTCCTTGCAGCAGTCTTTGTCGTTGGGCAGTCAGGTTGCTCCGACAGCGTTCCCTGGTGCTTCATTGAATTGTTGCCTGCTGCTTTGTGTGTGGCTGCAGTGTTGGTGTTGCCTTGTGCTTCACTGCGCTGTTGCCATGCTGCCCATTTGCTTGCCCTGTCGTTCCTTGCAATCGTTTTTGGCGTCGTGCAGCTGTGTTGCCTCTATTGCATTGCCTGGTGCTCCGCAGGGTTGCTGCCCGCTGCTATGTTCTGCTTGGGAACAGTCTGCCTTGAAGATGGGTCACAGGGTTCATGACCTAAACCATTAAATACGGAGATTTCGCAGATTGTCCAGGGTTCAGCCTCCTGATGAGTATGTGCACCTCAAACGAAACAATCTATCATCAGTTTCATTTTTTTCTGTTTTTTTTTTTTTTTTGCTACTTGTTCTATAGTCTGCCTTGTTGTCATGTTGCCTTGATGCTTCTTGACTTCATGTCCGTTCTTTTCTTGCTTAGTGCTGTTTGCCTGCCCACTCGCCTCCCCCATGCCCTCCAGCCTACGTTCCGCGCTGTTGCTTCACCACCCTTGGTGCTACTTCTTGACCTTTTACGGCCTCGTTCTTCTGTCTAGTGTTGTTTGTCTGCCTACCCGTCTCCCCCATGCCCTCCACCCTTTGTTCTTTGCTGCGGCTTGTCGTCCAAGTGCCGTGTCTTGACCTTTGCCTTGCCATTTTGTTTGCCTTATTGTACTTGCCTTCGCACTGGTTGGCTTGGTTTTTGAAAGCTGGAAGTGATAAACATTATTTTCTACGGGCATCTTTGGCTGCGGGCTCTTTCCCTGTGTTGTTTATAAGCACACCTTCCAACGCAACATGCCGCGGCGTGGTCGCGGGAGCTCCATACCACACAAACAAACAAACACACACACACACACACACACACACACACACACACACACACACACACACACACACACACACAGANACCCCCACTTCCTCCTCCTCTTTGTCTTTTTTCTTTCTCCTATTATTAGTAGTAGAATTGGCACCCCACGAGTCGATTGCAGCATCGTCCCCCCAAACCCMCCCCCCCCCGAAAAAGGGAAAAAAAAACAGTAGAACTGGCACTACTACCATCTGACCCCAAACACCTTTCATTATCATATCATACCGTAAAGATACTACCGTCTTAACCTGAAAACAAGGTATTCAAGTTACCTCCGAAAACGGGTTCTAAGAAATCGCTGTTAAATTTTCAAATAGAAGGTACCCTCGAATACAAGGCACCTAGTGGCATGATCAAAGCGGATGATCGTAAACTTTGTCCTCCACGCTCTCAAATGAAACAATCCACGGAATCCTTAATTCATCACGTTAAGCTTTACACGGAGGGTGTGTCTGTACCAGCTTCTTCTACGTACACCGGTGTAGAAGCACCCAAAGGAGAATTACCTTGTATTCGAGGTGTGCCTTGTAACTCTCACGTAACACTCTCTCTCTCTCTCTCTCTCTCTCTCTCTCTCCTGTCTCTTATACACATCTAGATGTGTATAAGAGACAGGAGTTGCCAGGTTGAACTCAATGTGTGAGTCTTACATATCACAGTGAACACATGGCCATGTGACATCAATGTGCCACGATCACCTTTCTGCCTCCTGCTCAGATTATCATCTCAGCCATTATCATTAATATATATACTCACTCCATGTCCAAGAATCAGCAAGTCCACCTGCTTTTACACTGCTCTCCTCTTTCTCCTCAGCATGCCATACGATCGTCCACTATCCACTAGGTCCTATCCCCTTCCTCGTACCTCGTACCCACGTCCAGATATTGTCTCGTTATAGCTAGTACCCTCATTTCGCATTACGTAACTCGACATCTTCCCTTTGCTAAGCGTCGTACAATCACCATATGCGTACACTATCCTGTCCGTAGTCTTGGATAGCATGCATTGGAAAAATTCATGTTTGTCATCAAAGTGTATGTGTAGGAACTCAGGATGTCCATTGGTCATTTCATTATGCCTTATTTCGTTTTAAAAGACTGCTCGCTATCCTGCTCTTCGACTCCGTTTCATTTCCCATTCTTCGCCCTCCCACTTCATATGCCCTTCGTCGTGCTTCCATACCATATTCGTCCCTTTCGATCCACCCTCGACTGATGCCGAGCCTTCTTACCACGAAAGATTTCGGACCTCGATGCCGTTGTCCCATCAAGTCCATGGGCTGACCCATGCTCCATCCCTTTTTGCACCTGTCTCGTGCTGTCCGAGTATCTCCGCTCGATCCGCTTCACCTGTATGTGTGCGCCAACTATGAATACGATTCATTTGATTCATGTCCCCTTCAGCTTCAGTTGCTGCGAATATAGTCCAGATTCTGGTGTCCATCGTATGCAGTTAGTTGTTCCGGCTGATTGCCATTCCCTGTGCCCAGATTCATTGACTGCCTCTGTCATACAGTATTCCTGTAGATATATCCGAGCATACAGCCTACAATTGTGATCTTCGGTGCATGCCGTATGCATATAATACTATGTCACAGGATAGTCCGTATTTATTTGTTTTGACGATTTTTTTTCTTGTCTTTTCTTTTCCACCCAGCTGTCATTTAGAATATTGTAGCATGACTGGCTTTTTTTTTTTTTTTTTTTTGAAACAGAAGACACCCAAGGTGGTGCTAGGGGTGCTGATAAGAGCAGGCACCGCTAGCATTACCGGGAGGGCTCCATCTATTGGTGGGGAGCTGGACCTGCTGGAAATCAGGTCCAGCGTCCCTACACATTATACTTGACTGTTTGAACTGCAATAACCCGCTCAAATGTCGTTGGCCAGGGGGCCACCCACAAACCACAGTTTGGCCTCAGCGAGGCCCTGCGTCCGACTGTGCGAAACAAGGCCCCTGAAACGAGGCTTCAGAGGCCCTGCGCCCGGCAGTTGGCCGAAGTCAACTGTAACTTGGAATATTGAGGCTCATGAGTCAAAGTCTACACGGACCCAGTCAAGGCCACCAATCAGGCACACACACTTGGCTGTACGAAGGTATCCAGGCAGAATCTGGTCCAAGTGGAGGTCTGCAACTGTATGCAATCCAGACCATCGACTATGAGTCAATCTGAGCCTCGTGCCTGGGAGAACAGAGGCTGGTCAATTGTGTCAACACTACTTATTGACCCAGCCCCTGTTGGTCAACATTCAGTCTTGCACTTGATGCTCGACGCTGGCACCGCGATGGCACGACACTGGCATGACGCTGGCACTACACTGGCAGTGCGTGCGGCGACGAGACTGTTGCATTGCGTGATGGCGCCTCTCTGCTCTTGGTGCCAGCTGTGTTTTGCTGGCGTGGCACTTGCCGCACAGTCTTTGGCATTGCTGAAGTGCCACACTGTCTTTGATACGGATTAAGGTATCGACGAGGAGGGAGATCAGAGCTGTAAGGTTGGCTGTGAGGGAGAGTGGGAAACTAATCTTTTTTGATGCTGTCGACATTGCGCGCTGCTGTTCCGTCTTCATAGGAGATCTGTGCCTATGTGGCACTACGTTGTGATCGGATCTTGTCAACCTCGTCTCTGGGATACTGTTTGCTGACGTGGAAGAGGGGAGATGCCCGAAGGGAACGTGCGTTATGAGGGAGATCTATCGACGATGACATCAATTTGATGGATACTTTCTCTTCCACCCTCTAAGTCTTATCTTCCTCCTATCGGCTTCATCCTCTGGTTACGAGACAATGTATTTCAGATCACATTTCATGATTATTGGAGACATTGATCAGCGCTGAGACATCTTGTATTTCGACACTTGACGAGTTTCTCTCCAGACTGGGTTCATTGCAGAACAGACATTGTAATGATAAGACAGCAAGCTGTAGGGCTTCCCAAACCAAACATCTTTTTTTTCTTTTTTTTCTTTTTTGACGAAAATTCAGGATGATTGACGATTGACTTATAATGAGGAAGAATGACCAGCACAGAGTTCTAATCCCACCTTCTAGGCATCGATATCAACCCAGCCAAATCCACACCTAGCTTTACTGTCTAATCAGCCAGGCCTATACCCGGTCTCACACCCCCAAATCAGCTAGGTTACAGTGCAGTACGACCTACCCCAGCTCTAACCTTCGTCGTCCTGACAGCAGCTCCTAGCCGGTCATTGGATTTCCTTTCACCCTCGGAAGTCCCCAAATCTCTCTACAAGGCCTCAAGCCCCTGCATGAACAGGTTACAGGGCAATGCCCCGGCACCGGTCAGCGTCGCTCCGGCGTCGACTAACCTAGAGCACTAAACATGCACAGCCAAATGTGAATACAACTAAGAAAAATACTGATACCTAAAAGCCTGAATCAGAATTCTGTAGAAATCTGATCAGATCCCCTCCCCCCCTTACTTCTCCCCCTGTCCTTTTGCTGCCTCCGCCGATGAGGAACATCCTGATCACAAACTCTCCTCCTCAGCCCCATCTAGGGACAGTGCCACTTCCCCCCTTCCTCCACCAAGGCATCCAGTTCCCCCAAAGCACGCCTCGGCCCACCCCTTGCCCTAATCTGCCTCCGCTGAGATATGATGTAGCCCCCTTCATCTCTCCCAGCCCCAGATTAGTACATCCCCCAAAATCTGCCCACACTTCCTATAGGGCATTCACCTCCCACGCTGTGACGCTCCTGCAGAGTGGAGCTCTCCCCCTCTATATCAATCTACCCTCTCGCCAGTAGTAATCAATAGCAAACAACGGGAGAGAAAAGAATTAGAAAAGGATTAGGACGATGCTAGGATGACGAGAGAATTCTCTCCCCTCCCCACTCCCTGTCTTCCTCCTCTTGTCACAGTAATGCGTCCACCAAGAAAGAGGGATCTGATGTTGAACACTCCTGCTCGGTGCCAGCGTGTAACCGTCCAACACACCCCCTGCTTCCAAAGCATACCTCCGAGTCATTCGGCGCCTTGCCCTAATTTTCCTCCGCTGGGGAGTGATGACAATCCATTCATCTCCCCAAGCCCCAGACTAAGGCAAACCCCAACATCCAATCACACCCCCTATAGGGCTTCACCTCCCGCCTTGTGAACCCCCTGCAGAGTAAAGCTCTCCTTATCCAATCTTTCCTTCAAACCCCACCCGAAATAGTAATTACCACTCCAGGAGAAGAAAGAGAATTTTGAAAATGGAGGAATATAAGAAAACACAAATAGAAGAAAATTAGGAAGCCTGATGATGATGATGATACTGCTGATGAACACATCTTGATGATGATGATGATGATGATGATGATGATGATGATGATGATGGTGGTGGTGATGATGACAATGATGATGGGGGCAAATAAACACCCTGAGGCTGAGGAGAAGCAGCACGGTGAAGATGATACACTGCACCCTAATGACGGACAACAAAACCATGATGATGGCTAGATACGGTGAGGATGGTAAACCACATCCAGATGACGATGACGAATAGCATGATGACCGAATTGATCGATTCATTTCTGCAACTTCTTACAAAGGAATTTATAGCCATCCACAGGACATCATCTGGGTTTCCCAGCAGCCTAAGTTCAAGTGTTATCAACTTCAGGAAGAAAAAAATAAAAAAAAAAATAAAAAAAAAAATCAATAGCATCTTCATATTCACGAGTTCACAAACATCCTGTGAAGGGTTCCGATGGTCGTACTAAGAATCTTTCTTTTCAGAGACCCCTGACTCCCGAAATGCCACATAGTCCGAAGAGAGCCGTTCAACCCCTCCTAGAGTGCCGCCTCATTTTTCAGCTTATGCGTGGATTTCAGGAGGGGTTCTGAAATCAATTCAGTCTTCTTCATCCTTGTTTCTAAGAACTTCCATTCCATACAGTGCAGATCAGATGCACATTCCAATTTGAGTGATGTATGGTAGCACATTTTGAAGGGGGGAGAGAGAGAGAGAGAGAGAGAGAGAGAGAGAGAGAGAGAGAGAGAGAGAGAGAGGCCCCGCAGATTCCACCATTGGCCGTGGTGGACCTCAACCAGAAAACAATAATAATAACAATAATTCTAATAAAAATCCTTATTGGCTGGTCTGTTTGCAGGGAGATATTGAGAGTGCCAAGAATCTTTACATGGAGGCGATTGACGCCGAGGCTGACTGTATAGAGGCGATCTTCAACCTTGGCCTGGCATACAAGAAGATCGGGAATCTACCTGAAGCGCTTGCTGCCTACAGGAAAGTGAACACCCTGCTCCCCAATAATACGGAGGTTATCTATCAGGTAAACTCCCATCCACCCTCCCCTGCCCTGCTCCCCCTATCCCCCCCTCGCCCCT